CATGTAATTATTTGGCCCTTTGATGCTTGCGACTTTTTTGTAATACTTTGAAATGTTATGTACAAGTGTATTTACAATTTGGGGACTGAATTGTTCAGCGTTCGTGTATGGGTGTGATATGGAGGTTTTGTTTTCTTTTGTGGTTTGCTTTGATTCCGTCTTTATAATGCGTTGAGTGCACTCCCACCTGAGTGGCATTTGTGACCTTATGATCATGGTCCCGCACCCTGCAGCCCTCCGGCTAGTGTGCGCATCTGACCCTAATCACAAGGTAAGCCTTATCTCAAAACTTTCTTTTGTTCGTTTGAACCGCACACACCACACCACCAACCCTTATCGCAGTAGGCAAAGGGGTCATCCTTGTGCGTACACGTGCACGAACCCTAAGGGGAACAACACACTCTTTTCTTCTCTCTCTAAAAGAAAAAGCACGACGGTTTTAAGAAAGGGTCCATTGTCGCGAGACATTGAGACCGAGGATCGACTAGCTGCCTTAGAGGAAAGCCGAGGCCAAGCAACTCGGTTGAGTCTCATAGCACTTTGACACTCTATCCAACTTGAGTAATACAATGTTTTTGGTAATTTGTTTCACTGAGTGTTGTCAGATTCGCTTCGGAGTCATTTTTAGTGTGGTGAGAAAAATAAAGCAATTTGAGGGAAGACTTCGGACTTTTATTTTTAATTTAATATAAATAAATTAGATATTTGTATATAAAATAATGTCAAAATTTAAAATAAAAATTTCAAAAAAATAAAAAAATAGAAAAATATTTTTATATAGACATTTCCTTGTTTAGGCTAAAAAGCAAGAAGCGTCGGCTGAATCAGCCTGAAGTAAACCTGAATCAAAAGAAGTGACCCAAATCTAACCAAAATGACACTACCAGGCTTCGCTTCGTTTCGATCTAAGCTTAAAATACGAAGGCTTTGGCATATTCAGCCAAAGCAAAACGAATTTGACGACACTCATCCGACCTTGTGCTACAAGACCCGCCAACTATTCCCCCAGCTATTAATGTCAATGAGCACATGAGCCATGATAAATTCGCTAAACCATTACATGCGCAAGGCGTTAATCGGTGCACCTTGCTGGGCTCATAATCTCTCTCCCTCTCTCTCTTTCTCTCCAAGTCGGTATCCGTCCAAGTCAGTAGTTAGCAATTGCAATCAAATGCTAAATTCCTCTCAAAGCCCAACAAGCCACTGTTAATCCAAGCAAACCCAGACCCACTCGGCGTCGGTTTTAAGCTTTTCCTCCGAGGTCCCTCTCCGGCTGAGAAGAGGAGGCCCCAAAATTTGCCCCTCGACAACTCTATTGTCTACGACATAAAGGTAGGCCTAAATTTTGAATCATGTCTGCCTTTCCCAATAAAACATGGTAGCCCACTTATTCATGAACTTTTGTGAAGACATGAAATACATTATTTCATGTAACTGACAAAACGATTATCTCTATTGCAAAACCAACCGATTAAATTTTTGAGAGTATGCATTGAGAAAGTACAAGAAATGGAAACTGTGTGGTGTCATCCTCTGTGACTGGTGAGGAGAGAGGGAGAGAGAGATAGAGAGAGATGATAGAGAGAGAGAGAGGTGGGGTCGTGTATAGGGTCCAGCTACTCCCCCTTTGCATGTGGCGGAGGGGAGGGGGTAGCATAGTGTCAACTTCCAAACCAAAAATTTAAGCAATTTTATAAGAACTTAAACACTTGGTAGTACATTTATGATCACAACCTGAAGTGGGGTTTGTAGAATATTTATCAAGGAAAAATGTCCCTCTTATGAAAAATCTTCTATTAAAGCCAGTGACAAACTTTGTCCCATTCTCTTGGTAAAATTTAATAATGATCATGGAATAATAGTACTAATTGTTTAAAGGGATCTTATCTTTTATGAAAGGGTCACCTTGTCAACCCCTAATAGCGGCCTTATAGTAGGAGAGAGAAAGTTAGAGAGAGGTGGACAAGGAGGAGGCATGTGGGGCCTCAGTGTTTTGGGGTTATTGGGACACGATTAGGGGAGAGTGCCCTTTCGTGGGGAAATAGTGTAGGGTTGGGGGCAGCGTGTCGAGGCTCAAAAGAGGGAAAAGGGGGCACCGATAATAGACAGCCTTTGTTTCCATGTGCACAAATTTAAGAGCAACATCCAAAAGGGATCATCCCCACATTCTCTCTCTACGCAGTTTTTTTCTTTTTTTTTTGAAAAAATAACCTCTAACCCCCTCTTGAAAATTGTATTCCTATTAACTCCCTAGAATTTATATTCTTATTAATTGCTTGGGTGAACCAAAATCCCTTGCATCCCTTCAAGTTTTAAACTTTGGGTCCATTACCCCTCTAATTATATTTATATTTATTCTTTTTATAAATTTGTTTTCTTTGTTTTACATAATACCAAACCCATACATTAGTCATCCATATTTTTTTGTGACTTATATATAAATTTTATTGATGATAATAATTTATAATTATTACAATTAATTAATAATTATAATAATAACAATAATAACAACAATAATATATTAATTGTTAAATATTCCATCTCTTATAGGTATTTTGATTAAAAAATTTTAATAAATGAATAAATAAATAATAATAAACATTAAGAATAGCAAAAAATATCTTGATTAATCATTTTTTCAA